TTTGCTCTCTCCTATATAATGAGTTTAAACTGGTGTGATTTATCTGATGTCCTGCTTTATGATGGCATATTACTGTCTGTCATGCACTCTTTTCCTGTCAATAATGATACAATAGGAGCTCTGGTAGCACATTTGTTACTCTCTTATTGACTAAAAGATATATCAAGGTGTCATATGGCATTGAAATCAAGTTTTGTTGGAATTTAGGCTTGATGAATGGTCGTTCAACTTGGTAAAAGTGTTGTTGTTTTTTCATGGATGTTATCTGGTAATTGCTTATGATCAACCAGACCCGTAACCGGAACAATACGAGACATTTTCAAAAAGTAATACTCTTTACGCTACATTGTTATACTATGATATGTTAACACGTAAGTTTCATCTGTATCAGAACTCTGTATGTACTCTTTTGTATTTTGTTGTTGATGTGAGGGTTTTTTCTTACATTGTATTCAGGTCAGCTGGAAATATGACATCCGTCATGGAATTAGAAGACCATTCAGCTGTCGATTTTGAAGTACGGCGGCTTGTTCCTGTCCTTTAGATGCTTTTCCATCTGGTTTGTAAAGACGTTTGTCTTTTAAAATCGATTTAAATCAAAGGCAAATGTTCCATCTTGAGTGTGTGAGGATGAAAGGTCAATTGGACCACTGATTGATGATGTTTTGACCTCAAACCTTAGTGAAAGAGGCTCACCGACAGTGAGGGAAGAGAATGACAACCTTTTACCAAGATGCAAAACAAAAAACAAATTTTCCCTTAGTTTTTTCTGTGTTCGGTCTCTTCTTCGTCTTCAGCGTTATCACAACCATCAGCTTCCTCTTAGTATTCATCCCAATTCTCTCTCTCTCTCTCTCTTTGTATCTATCTATCTATCTCCCGTATATTTAACCCTTTTTTTTTCTCAAGAGAGAGAGAGAGAGAGAGAGAGAAAGAGATAGAATGGGAGATGGTTGGAGAGAGAGAGAGTCTCTCTATCTCTCCAACCATCTCCCATTCTATCTCTTTCTCTCTCTCTCTCTCTCTTTGTATCTATCTATCTCCCGTATATTTAATCCTTTTTTTTTCTCTCTCTCTCTCCGACCATCTCCCATTCTATTTCTTTCTCTCTCTCTCTCTCTCTCTCTCTCTCTCTCTTTATCACTATACTTATTTCTTTCACTCTCTTGCTCTCCTTCTTTCTCGCTCTTTAATGTGTATACCTTGTGTGCGGGTAAGCATGAATCCGATGACCGGGGTAATAATATATATCTGTAAAGCGCATTGAGAGGGCCTGCGATCCTGATATGCGCTATATAAGGACGAACTATTATTATTATTATTATTATTATTTAATTCCGCCCAAATCAGGGAGGTGATAGAGAAGGAGTGGAATCAAGCCGCGCTCTCATTTGAACCACTGATTGATGGTGTTTTGACCTCAAACCTTAGTGATAGAGGCTCACCGACAGTAAGGGAAGAGAATGATAACCAAGATGCAGAACAACATTTCTTCCTCCTCAATTCTTTCTGTCTTTCTGTGTTCTGTTTATTCTTCGTCTTGAGCATTATCACCACACTCAGCTTCCTCTTTTTATTCATCCCAAATTCTCTCTCTCTCTCTCTCTCTCTGTACCTATCTATCTATCTCCCGTATCTGTAATCCTTTCTTTATTTCTTTCTTGCTCTCCCCCTCTCTAACCATCTACCGCCTCTTTAATTCTCCCTTTTTTTTCTCTCTATTTTTCCACCATCCCCAACCGCCTCCCATTCAATCTCTTTCTTTCTCTCTCTCTCTCTCTATTTTTATTTATCACCGTACTTCTTTTTCTTCTTTCTTTCACTCTTTTTCTCTCCGTCTTTCTCGCCCTTTAATCCTGCTCATATCAGGGACGTGATAGAAAAGGAGTTAAATTAAGCCGCTCTCCTTGATCCCATGCTCCAAGCCGCCGAAAATCCGCTGAAAAGCGCTAATCTGCAACTGTTGACCAGTGGTGAGATAAAAGACGCATGAAATATCAGGATTTAGAATACCTACAAAAGAAAATGGTATCTCAGCAATGGTTCTCTGTCCTTTTCAATGATTTCTTATCAATTTATGAATGTGTAATGAGTTGAACAAGCGAACACATACGTTTGTAATTTCATAATTTTGTCCAACTACACACGTCAAACACAAATAGCACGCATTAACAAACTTAAAGTTATCGAAGATTGTAAATCATGGATTAAATGACGGCACATTAAAGCATGCAAATGTGCGAAAATAATCGGATTATCCTAAAATATTGAGTTTTTGTCAGGATGTAATTTTCCTTTTACCAACTCTGGCACACAAATTATAGGAATGACGGAATGCTAAATTTGAAAAACCGTTTGATGCACTATTCCCAATACAACCCCTATACACAGTTTCTTATTTACATTGAAATTTTGCGGTAATGTGAAACTGGTGCCTGACCTCAGAAATTCCCCGCAGTGGAAGCGCGGTTCGGAGCATGGAACTTCAAAGCCAAGTGGAATGTTACACATCCCATGGATACGCTTAAAACTCACGCATGCGTTTGAATAAATTACAAGAGTTTCCACTCCTTCTCTATTACCTCCCTGCTCAAATTAACACAACCTTTCACTGCTAACGATCGCGCACATGAGAGGGACATCAACAGAAAACAGAGGCAAAATAAATTAGGGTTAGCCCTATTAGTTTTTATTTATATCGTAGACATAGATCACAATACACAATGGTAAATATAATGTTATGTACAATTATCTGTCGCGTAGAATTCGAGATAGGCACCATGATTTTACAGTCTGTGTTTGATATTATAAAGTGTTATCGCCATGATATCTTGTTGCAGTAAATCTTCCAAATACACTCTTACTCCAGAATTACGAATTAAAACCGTCATTTCCTCCCAAATTTAATGACCACACTAAACAAAAATTAACGGGCACGGCAAAACATGAAAACCCCTATGGAATCTATGGCATATAAAACATGTCCCATGGTTTTCATTTTCAGTTCATTTTTATTTTGTATCATATTGTATGCACATTTTCCGATTTGCGAACATTCAAACAGAAGTGTAGCTGCAAAGCCAACTTTTAGTGGTACCAGGGGATTTATAAAACGTAGACAAAAAAGATCGTTTCCAACTCTCATTCGATCTCTAGCCCAAGTTTAGAAGGAAAATGTATTACCGGGGGGGGGGGGCTAGCCAAAACATAGGCCTCTGTTTTTTTTTAAATACCATTTTTTCAGCACCATCATTTACCGTTTAAAAATCGACTAACGATTTAACAAGCTGATAGTGAAGTAAATCTATTATCGTAGCTCAAGCTCATGAAATGCTATTGATTAAACTATTAATTTGTTTTGTAATCTCTCGCTACAGGCAGGATTCTATTCATTATCTTTCTAAGATTTCTATTTAGCTTAATATTATCTTAAATTGTTCCGTTGAGTTAAAAAAAATGTCAAGCTTAATTATATTTCTCACCGCCTCTCTCACCCCCTCTCTCTCTCTCTCTCTCCCTCTCTCTCTCCCTCTCTCTCTCCACATCCCCATATATGTTTCTATTATTTCCACCGTTCATTTTGTCTCTCCCCCTCTTTTTCTTTGAAGTCTCAATTCCTCTGCTCTGTCTCTCACTCTCTATATCTCTCTCATAACATCTCTCTATATCGTTATCTTTATCGTTCTCTCTTCATCTTCCTCTTGCACACACACTCGCATGCGCACCCTCGCACATCTAGAACACCACCAACCCACACAAGCATATTCCTTTTTTTTTTTTTTTCATCTTTCTTTCCCTCTTTCTTTCATTCTTTTGTTTGTTTCTTCCTTTCTTTCATTCTCACGCTTGACTTGTGTCCATCTCGCTCCGTCGTATAAAACACCACACTTTACACTCGCTCGTTATACTCTGATGAATTTCTCACCATCTCGGCCACACTCCACACTGTCATATCATCTTTATTCGCCATCGAAACCTCCCCACATGGGACCTCGGTCATTCTAAATAGGCTAATGGTCCTACTAACCTTAATGCTTTAATACGGACAACCGCCGATCCGCAAGAACTCCCCAGTGTCTTGTAACCTTACTCTTACTAATACCTTACTCATACATAGATTGCTATGATAGTCATAGCAGGTTAATACCCGACACAGGTGACAAGAATTGACTTTGTATCGTATATATGGGGTAAGCGTGATTCGGTGGTCGATTGGGTTTCATGTTTGGTTCGTCAAGGTGAATCTTTAAACCAGCAACGTGATGCAGGAATACACCCTAGCTCGAGAAACCCCAATCTGCCTCTGTCTATTAATACTGGTTTAAAGCGTGAAGAAGTTGTTTTGACCAGCTAAATGTATCAAATGAAAATAATTGGATATTTGCTGGAAATCCCCATTAACACAAATATATGGGATTACGAATGTACATAAGGCGTGTTATTATACAAATAATGAATGGTTATGAGTTCAATAGTGCGAATATTTTCATGAGTTGAAAGATTAACATTCTATTGAATGGAATTCCATTGAATAGAATTAATGATCATCTTTCAACGAATGAAAATATTCGCACCATTGAACGAATGAAAAACATTCATTATTTGGTTTATACAACATCGAAGAAGATCTAATAGAACGTTAATCAACAAATTATGCTTTATTCCTTATATTAAAGATAAATTCAAGTTGGATTCAAGCCTTCTCGATTACATTCAGATTGCCTTCGCGTCAGATACACGCAGGGATACGCGCGCGCACGGCAGAGAGGTACGCAGTCTGCATATAACCAAAAATGAACGACCGTGCAATATACCATCTATTGAATATCATGTGACCAACAATCCTCCAATCAAATGACAGGGATCCACGTAGGTGTTGTATAAATATATATAATTTATGTTATACCTATTCAATATTATGAAACTGACTACATTATTTGTATAAAGAGGGAATGAGGATGTTTCTTTCCACATAATGTATGTCAGTTTATAAAAGTATATATCTGCATCATACATGAACAAAAAATGTACAAAAATACATACGTAAAATATATTAAAATACAATGTTTTGGGGAATGACTCTATGAATATGCAATCAAGGTGCTATTTAAGTAAGTACTTTACCGCGTTTGATAATACTCGCGTTTACTAACCAAATGCACTAACTTCATGCATTTAAATATTGTCCACTCTGAACAGTTGATAGAGTGCCAAATGTTTCAAGCTGGGTGCCGAGTCCAACTAAGCAAAGTTTGAAATTTTGATTCTACATATCGTGGCAATACACATCTAAATGATTAAATAACCATCCATGTTAATACTGTTAAACATTGGATCGAATTCACACAAAGGGGTTTGAATGTAACCCATCATCTAAACAACCATGAATTAACCTTCAACTGGTTCTTATGTAAGTGTACATAAGCGCTCAGAAGTGTATATTGTCCGTTCATTGTACTTGGGCACATGCGTTTACTACGCTTAACGAAGTTTAAACCATGGATTCATAACCCACTCTTGTGAGCTCATGCATTCAGTTCGATATGATACCTTATATTCACGGACGAGACACGATTAGTGATAAAATAACGATGGGAATATTTACGACTTAATCGAAATAATATTAAAGATCATAAACAGAGAAGCTTTTATAAAATTCTTATCTCACTATCGCTGATCTGTTATTTTGAGTCCTTTCCCCGTCGGCTACTCTTTGATGAGCCGTCGGTATCGGCTCGGTTCTAGTTGAGTTTCCGCTTCCATCCTTCTTCTTGAAACACAGAGGGAACGCCTTCTTGAAATATCGTCTGAAGTTCTCGCCCAAGAATGCATACACGAACGGGTTCACGCACGAGTTCGCGTATGAGAGCATATGGGCGAACACTTTGAAGAAATAGGTGCCATTGTTCTTTGGGAAGTTACGATCCAACCGAAACCACGTGGTGAAGATGTACAGAGGCAGCCAGCACAGAGCAAACAGTAACACGACCACCATGATCATCCGAGTAATCTTGCGTTTTTGCTGCAGCGCCATCAACGCCTGAGCGTTGTTAGTTTGCTCCCCAGGCGAGACGCGTTGCCATAGTTTCCTGAGCATGATGCTGTAGCAGACACAGATGATGGTGAGAGGCACGAGGTAGAGGGCGACCATGCCATAGATGGCGTAGCCAGGGTAAAGGATTTCAGGGCGGGGCCATATGTCAATACAGACTAAGGCGTCACCGAACTGTGCCACGTCGAAGTAGATCGCAGTAGGTACGGCTGCACACGCAGAACCTGTATCAGAAAATGAACATTTAAAAGCCTTGGGTAAGATTAATACTGCAAGGAGCATTCGAAGGAAAACGGGATAGAGGAAGTCCACCAATATCTTAGACTGATGATATCAAGAAAGTGTCTGGACAAGGAATGAAAGGTGCAACACAAATGGCAGGTGAAAGAGTTGCATGGCTTGCTCTCGTGAAGACCACAGCAGTGCTTTACAGCGCCACCTGAAGTTTATGATGATGATGGGTTAGATTAAGAGAAGAAAGATTAGAAGGATTTTTGGCCGTGTGCAAATGATACGGGGGTGAGGGTGGTGAAAGAAAGAGTGTGAGAGAGAGAGAGAGAGAGACAGAGAGAGCGAAGGAATTTGGAAGACAAACAATGGAGAGGGGGGGGGGAATAACTTATTTATATCGTGGTAGGAGGAAGGGGGTGGGTGGGTGTTGAGCAACCCCAACTACTGTATAAGACGCCTTTTAATTCTGCAGTACTAATGTACATCGTATTATGATCTATAGAAGATGTGAAAACACCGACGATTTCAATAACAAAAACCGATCCTGCAGGATTGTATGAGAGGTTGTCTTTTTCAAAGCGCAAGTTGAAAAAATGCACACAAACCCTTTCAACGGCAATAAATCAATGATGTAGGCGGACTAGAAAAAACCGGACAATAGGTATAAGCTTGAAGAACTGTCGTTCTGATACACCTTTACCTAGTCCTATGCTAAAATGAAAGATTGTTAAATGGCGGCGGATGAGAGGACTGGAAATATGTTTCGGGCATGTTCAGTGTACTATAACGTCTGCTTAGTTCAAGAAAGGCATTAACTTCAGTAATGTTTAAAGTTTAGAGTTTAAAGCCCTGTGGCTTCTCAGCAAGCTGCGTGATCTATTACAAAATGGAAGGTGGTAAACATTTCGAACGGCCAAATTACGTTGATAGCCAGATCGAAATGTATTCCACCTTAGAGTATATGAGTTAAAGTTTGTTGTTGTTTTTATTTTATATTTCGATTATGGATGCCTTGTTACATAAAAGGGGTTATACGAAAGTTGGTCAGGCTTTTATCAAGTGCAAACAAATTAACGATCGATATCAAATAGAGAAGTCTCGGTTCTCGGTGAATTCTTCTGTTTTATAACAACTGACATTTAGGAAGTGTTCAAAACAGTGGTGTACCTACAAAGAAGCATGGGGCACATGGGGTGCATGTTCACTCAATTACATGGAGTGTTGGCTCAGTCAGTAGAGCGTCCGCCTCACAACCGGGAGGTCGTGGGTTCGAACCCCGGCCGCGTCATACCAAAAGACGTTAAAAGATGGGAGTTGTTGCTACCTTGTTTGGCGTTCAACAATAAGGGATAGAGCAACGTCGATCTGGCGCTGCTCAGTGGCTGCCGGGCTCACGATCAATTGGGCAAAAAGAATTTCCGTTTCGGTTTAATAAAATTTGGAGTGGACTATTAGGCTATTATTATTATTATTATTATTATTATTATAAAAAAAAAGGGCGGAGAGAGAGAGATAAGGAGAAAGGAGGAGAGGGTAGGCAACGTGAAAAGGAGATTCTACAACCCCTTCCCTCGTCATCTCCAGCTGTTCCCCTTTAAAAGTCTGCAGTTCATCCACAGAGTATCAAAGATGGTGCCCCCCCCCCCCCCGTGTTGGTAACCCCTCAATATCTGGATCCACGCTACGACACTGGTTCGGTGTCCGACCCGAGCTCAACGCACTAGATCACTTGTATTTCCACTTGAAATCAACGAGGGTAACATCGCTATTATCAGTGCCTCTTCCCCGCCTATGCAATAACTATACCCTTCTCGCAATCTAATTTAGCCATGCGGCCCATCTTGGCCCCACGCCTTACGTATCTGAATACACACTGACCTAGATTAAAGCAGGAAAATGTTTACAATAGGGCACTCCAGGTGACGTTCCGTGGTGAAAGCGAGAGAGCGCTGATTTCAAATTCACCACGACAATACTTTGAAAGAGCACGATTATCGAGAGCAAATCTTGAGTGGGACGCCCCTTCTAGCACATTCATGATTCTACAACACTGTTTAAGAAGACGTAGCAATAATTTCGATCCGGCCAAGCCGCTTAGCAAGCACACGATGCAACGGTTTGGGGCAATTTTATTATGTTTTATTATTTTCATTCATTACCACTGTGTTTTGTAAATAAACATCATGAAAATGCTGCCTTAGGGTTCTCCTTTTTTCTATTCCACTTGACCTGGCAACGGGTGGAGAGGTTACCAAATCTGGGTCTCTTAAGATGCGCATCTTTTTTAGAGAAGCAAAGGCGTATATAACCAGGGGCACCAGGGGCGTGGCCACCCTCCTGTCCATTGGCTGGAAAGGGTTATACACAGATCCATTTGACCATGTGCTATTCTGTTTCACTCCCCGTGCCCCCCCCCCCTCCCTCAACACATCTAACTACAGTCACCGCATAGCTTCCACATGCTTTCTTATTTTTTCTGTATTCCTCCTCTTTAAAAAATATTCCTCTTTTCTCTCCCATTTTTCACCGTTCTCAAATTGGGGTTTCCTTTTGTGATGTAAAGAATTTGCAATAAAAAAGCAATCATGGCCGTGTGGGGGAAACAAAGACAACGGAAATGAATGAATGAGTGGAAATGCAGTGAGATAAATACACAGAAAATAAAAGAAGCGCAGAGGGTGAAAAGGAATGAGATTTAAAACAGCAATCATATCGGAGATAGCCAGTCCGAAAGTGCAGCCACTTTCACTCCGTATATCCTACTTCTTGTTTTCAAAAACCTGACCACTATGAAGCATATCAATGACCACGAGGGAGGATTTAGAATTAATATCACCAGGGTACCCTAGATATTCAATCGCATCGTCTGAAATTGGCTTATGAAAATCAAATAAATTGAGCGGTAGGCCCCTAAATATATTCTGATCAACGTCTTTCCCGTAAGTCATTGTTTTAGTAACCCACATTACCTAACATCTCATTATCAAGATGGATCTTATAATGCATTAGGTTTTCCTATGAAATTGTTTTTAAAAGCATTTATTTCTTTTGTTAGATCGTTGAATAATACCAGATGTTTACCAATACACTCTTTTCAGTTTTTGACGCCTTTTGTAGGTGGAAAACGATAGGAAAGGGGGAAGCTTAAAATAAAGATTTTCAAAAATATGGAAAGAATGAACAAAACTAAAAGGAAAGTGAAAGAACTCGATCCTATCCCCCTAGATGGTGGCCTTATTAATTCATATTTCATTCAAAAAGTATTACGGGTACTACCCCTTACCCCGCCCTAGATTCTTTTGTCCCCCCCCCCCCCCCCCTCAACCTCGAATGTTGGACCCATGATAAGCCAATAGCCAGCACTGAAAGACTGGAAATAGGAATTACGTGATTGTTACCGCACTCCGTAATTGTAGCGTATTGTTTGTACTGAACGATGAACGTAACATAACAAGGAGATACATGCATCGGTTACGCATCGACTTGCGAGTGATTGAGAAGCGAGTCGAAACAGGTCGAATCTCTAGACATTGAGGACGAACAATCAATAACATGAATAATGTAAGAACACACCGCGGTAAAGGATGGAATGAAAATAACCAATAAACGGTAGGTTAAAAGGGAATTAGCCCCTTTTACTAAAAGAAAGGAAAGAGAAATGGAAGCAGTAAAAAATCAGGAAAAAAATAAAATCCGATAACGAAAACGCACGCTGTGATCACTAATTATTTTCTACTCTTTTTTCCTTTGACTATGCACACATTAACATTATGATTTCCTTCGCATGTCAATTTCTGTTGGTATGTTAATTATATTTACTGGAATTCTATGATTTCTAAAATATGTTTTCTCTCTTGAACTATATCACAGAAAACATAAATGCGTGGTCACAATGTAAAGAGAATATATTTCATCAATAAATCCCAAGATTTCGGGGGTGGTGAAAACAAATAATGCTCTCATTAAATAAAAGATTTTCTAGACAACTTGAAAGATTTCTTATTTGTCGACGGGTTTTTCTCAAAGTTTGCATTTTGTTTGGTCGGTCGATATATTGGTGAGATTCTCACCTCACCCTCCTCGCACCGTCTGAATTGAAGTTATCAACGAAACCTTTCTAGTCCCAAGGGAGATCGATAAGAAGAAAGAGAAAGTGAAATGTTGAGGGATTCTTCTTAACGGGGTTTGTCAACATATTTGCTATTCCATTGCGTCTGCCGGGCATACTAAAGTCTGATGTTTCAAACTCACTGCCACGTTTAAAGAGTTATAGGTTCCCCAAAATACTGCAAAATAACAAATAAACAAGTTGGGGGTGATTCCCCTATTTTTCATTATCGATCCGAAGTAGAACTTGATCCTCTTTTAAACACGATAGAATTACCCCTTGAAAAAAGAAGGTGCCCTATTTTCTCTGTTGATTGATGTTTTTGTTTTTTTGTCTTCCTCTAAATATAGGCCCACATTTAGCCTGTTTTGTGACTGCAGTCCCGATTCACTATAGGAAACGCACACACAGCGCACAGTGCAGCAAAACAAAATTGTTGGGCGGGAAAATGTTAACTGTAAACTGTGAAACTGTGTAGCTGTTGCTATACGGATGTAGCCTGTTTTAGAAATGAACTATCCTTATATCACTGATGAGTTTAGTAACGCGATTGCACTTAAAAATCAACAAAATGTTCCTTATGTGAACGCACCTATCACGATTACTTTTCTTGATGCGTGCTTTGGCATAGCCTATGGGTAAGAGAAGATTAGGTGCACATAGCCTCTGGACTTCGAAGACTAAATTACGAACAACCTTTCTTCCTGCTGTCTGCAAAATAAGTAGACAATAAAAGAACATAGATCGTCTTCTTGATTTAGTCATCAGTAAAAAATATTTAAAAAAAAAACAGGTAATGTTTACGCAATAAGTACGAAGTTGACTTTAGTTTTCTGACCCATATCGTTACTTGCTGTGAGGGAAATTTCGTTTTTTAGCGTTTTATGTTTAAGTTTCCAAGTTGATTAACACGAATTACCCTTTCGAGCTCATCTCTTGTGACGGAACGTAGATGACTATAAACAACAATGATGTAAATCGGCCTACGGTGTCCGTAAGGAGAAAATACACGTATCCCAATTATCCTGCTTGAACCTTACCTGTACGTGTATCAATTCTAATTGTTATCACAAAATCATAAAAGTTATTCAGGAAGTTCCATAAAGTTGACAGTGCAGAGGGATTTTTTCATGAAAATCAGAACTTTCTGACTTTCCTTCATTGTCCGCGCTTTGCGACTTCTTTGTGGATTCTCTTTTATTTCATGCCGTATTTGAATAATTATGACCTGACAATTATTAAAATGATTTTAATGGAGCAGTGATGTAAATTTAAATCCTATGTATTGTTTTGTCATTTCGAACAATCTTGTCAGCAAATATTGTGAAGTTATTCAGTTTATATCTCTTTAAGAGAGACTTTTAATTGACGATGGATATTAACCGATCAGTAAAGAGCGTTGAACTAAGGAGACACGAACGAACGAACCGTTCATAATACATGAACATGTCCAAAACTAACAAAAACATACAGCAATTTTTAAAATGTTTTATCGCGATTGTCTATTCTTGCATTATGTATGCCCATAATTTGTTATTTATATACTAGTAAAGCATTTGTTAGAAGTGTTTTTTGTTTCTCTTCTATATTTTGCTTTCAGTCCTAAGTTCCTCAATGTACAACATGCACGTAGATTGTATTTCTGGTTTTACCTTTGAGATCAATTTTCGTGGTTTTTTTCTATTTTAATTAATGCGGTGAATCCTTTTTGTGTTTAAGTACATTTTCAAATTATCTCCGTGGTTTACTTGTCAGAATATTATGAAATGTGGTTCGTTATGTGGTAACTGAAAAATGAACGATCTATCCGGTGTCCACTCTCTTAATTTGTTTTCCCCCTTCATTTTCTTCGAATTGTTATTCTATAATCCCTTCTTAAAGGTAAAGATCAGTTTTGGAAACGCCCCCCTCCCCTCAAAAATTGAAATGGAAGTTCATATTACCAATCATGTGAATCATGTGAAAGAATATGTTTTGACTAATACGTGGTGATACAAATTTTGCCGGGAAATTGCCTACTAATTGATATATTTGTTAATTATTATATCTATCTGGACCGGATAGATATCGCGCACGTGTCACGTAGTCCCATATACATCATATGGCTCCGAATAGTTTCATTGGACAACGCCCCCTATCGTCAGAGTCCAGCAGCCAATAATGTTAGCCTACTGTTTTTTACCCCAAAAATCATTAAAAGTTCATTTTTTGTTTAAACGAAAAGCACATCCAGCCCGACGTACGTTGACACTAGCTCTTTCATTGGAACCCTCATGTCCCATTGACTTTTGAATGTCACCCACCGTAATTTGGTCAAAATAGGTCGCTAGCTCGCCATTGCCTATATAACACATGTGAACAAGTCGAACTTTGGACGCAATTTGCCAAGCGATTGTAAGATTATAGGTCAAGCACACGAAGGATAACAAGCATGAATTATCATAGATCAGTTGTGATCGGTTCATTATGTCCATTTCAGCTAATCCCCCACCGTATTTTTTCCATTTAGTATAGGCAAGCATTTTGCCGAGGTATTAGCAAAAACATGAATATTCATGATCGCCATGGACTATTCGTTTATTTACAGAGGGGTGCAATTGTGCACCACATTAAACTCCCCTACTTTAAGCCAAGTGTTTCATTTTATTATGTAGTTTGCTAGGTTTATTTAATAACTGTTTAATTATCAGATATCAATCATATCTTAAAGATATGGAAAATGTTCTTGTATTTTATATTTAGCAAAGCAATCTCACATACAAGTTCACTACCAAGTGTCGTCCAATCCGTCGATTGCCGTCTGCTATGTACATCCAGCGAGCGAAAATGAGACAACCGGAGCAATATGCTTTCTATGTACAGTGTTTGTAACATTACCAAGACTGGGCCACATTTCTTATTATTTTGATAATTCCAGAACCTTGCAGTACACACCAATACTTATATGCTAGATGATCAACCTTTTCGGATCGATTCCGCAACGTTTCTTTCACAATGCAATCGCCTGGCCAGAACTGATCTCTACCTTTAAATTATACGTTCTCGATCCTTTTCGTTGGAGAGGGATATAAAAGATGTTGGTAGTAGTCTCCTGAATCCGATCGGGATTGTAGATACTAAACCCCAGAGTATATTGATACCTTGCTATATTGATTGTAAGGGATAAACTTACGTAAGAATTCCACTAACGGTATTACGCGCGCTGCGTGCATCGAACTTCGGTTGAACTGCAGACTTTGTGGTGAGGTAGTGTGCGAGAGAGAGGGAAGGGAGGGAAAGAGAGAGAGAGAGAGAGAGAGAGTGTGTGTGTGTGTGTGTGGGGGGGGGGTAGAGAAATAGATAGAAGACAGAGAGAAGAGATAGAAGAGAGAAAGAGATAGAACAGAGAGAGAGAGAGAGAGAGAGGGGGTGAGAAGTGGTGAAGAGATTGTTTACTAAAAGGCCGATGTATCATGTGTCCCTCTTGCTATGCTGAATATTAAACCTGTGACGTCATTTCAGTCACGGAAAGAGAAGTATCCTCGCGTGTCATGTACAGGTATATAGGAGCCATTTCATTAGATGCAGAGCTTGGTAACGTCATTTCGTTATTAAGATTCCCTGTCGGATAGGCACTGGCTGTAGTGTTATAAAAACCGTTAGAAAAAAAGAATTTTGACATTTCGATTTCAAATCATAAATATCTTGATAATCAGACAGGCGATCAGAATTTTGTTACAGAATCTTAGACAAAGATACCCAATCCCTTTAAGGGGGCACCACCAGCCCAATAATAATACATGGCAATTACCCCCCCCCCCCCCCCCCCCCCCCGATGTGCCCCCTTAAACATAATTCCGGAATTGGATCCCCCTCCCCCTCCCTTCCTCCCTCCCTTTAAAACAATCTTGATCCGCCCCAGTTCTTACCTGCCCATATACAGACGTTAATGATGACAGCCGCTCGAGTCGTTCTGGTCTTCAACGATTGCAGAGGACGTACTATCGCTTTGTATCGATCAACACTCATTGCTGTCAATGTCAGGCATGTTGCTTGGGCCGTGACCTAGGAAAGTTGAATTAGAGAAAATATAACTATAGTGATACATAATGATACACAACAATAATGATAATAGTAATAACAATAATGATAAAGACTAAGACAACATGACATGATAAATAGCTCGCCGATTCGAAGCGGAGATTAGTATAAGTCGGTGCCAATAGTTTACCATCCTAACATCGTGATACCAACATAAATACATACTTGCTAATGGATTTGTGTTCATCCTCAAAGTGAAGTATGTTTTTTGATTTACTTCACTTATTAATTTTCCTTTTATGTGTTGCCTATTCAGGGATAAAAGACATGATTATTTCAGGCTTACAAACTAAAAGACGTGAAACTATGATTATAGAACCATAGAAATGTTGAAACTTTACCATAAAGGAACATTATGAGACCGATGGTGTAATGTTTCAAAGGGTTACATAGCTGTTAGAGGGGTTGAAAATTACGCCATATTGGAAGGCATGGAAGATCATATTCAACAAAATATGACCCCTCCTGCTTAAATATAGTTACAAAACTGGCTCTAAATTATGAACCTTTATTTGGATTATAAAGTATACGTATTCGCAAAAAGAAAGAAACTTATTTCCGCTGCATTTACCATATGTTATTCGAGTCGCAAGTTCCTCTTTGAATTTATGACCCCTTTTGTGAATTTCCTTGCTCTTTTGAAAATAATATTCCCGTTTTTTCCTTTTTAATCTGTGAACATCTCCAAAAATTGTCACATTTTATCTGAAATTTCTAACTTACATGCGTACATACAAAGTCAATATGAGGTTACACCACTAGGAAAACAAAATAGTGAAACATAACAAAAAACACACAGTTAGACTTCAAGGGCAAGTCTACTCCAAAAAAAAAACTTACTTTCAGTAGAAGTAGAAAAATCTGACAAATCAATCCAAAAAAATTGAGCAAAATCAGATAACTAATAAGAAAGTTTTGAGTCTTTAATAGCATGAAAACTTTGAAAATCACAAGACAAATTGGCAACTCACCGCACAGAGTCTGTGACGTCAATGCCTCACTTTGCACTAATTCTTTTTTTTAATTTTCTATATTGATGATATAAATTTCCAAGTTTCCCCCTACAAATCTTATTTCCTCACACCAGCATCGAACGTTGAGGGCTCCATATTTACTGTGCCACATTCGCTGTTTTCACTCAGTTTTCTTCGGCTGTGTCTGACTGACAGATATGGACCATTTAGCTTGCACATTTCACCTCAGCCTGGGGCGCAAGAGTTTTATATCATTGTCAGACACATTAAATCATGTTAATGTGTAAACTTCTCCTTTTAAGATCCTCCCGACAACCCTTGTCGTATAATTTTGCTCGCTCCCAGCTATTCTCATCTCAGATTTAATCATGATGAATCGAAAAATGTCCCCCAAGTCCACTGCATTCCTTTCTTTAAGAACAAAAATACAGCATCCCTCATACCAACGACAAATAAACTGAGACAGCTGCTACTTAGCACTGATTATGATCAGTGCGAATGTTTACGATTACAAGGAGAAGGAAAGGAAGAAGAAAAAGAAGAAGAAGAAGAAGGAGCAAGGATAGGACATAAATGTTACAAATTGGTCGGTCTTTTGAAGTTTGGCTCCTTGCACAGCAATCATCGGAGGGTGATAGTGATTTAAGGTCTGTTAAAAAGCTTCAGGAAGATATTAGTAACCTTGATGAGTTCAGGGCCCCGTTTCACAAAACTTATCATAAGTGACAAATTGCAGTTTTTGTTATAAGCTATGAGATCCCTGCTTCTGATTGGTTATCAGCAGATTTGGCACTGATTTATGTCATTTGTCATCGAAAAAAGGCTTTGTGAAACAGGGCCCTGGAGTTCAAAATTACTCCAAACTGCAGCAACGATCCCATTTATTTTTATTTTATTTTTTATTTTTTATTTATTTATTTATTCGTACGGGGTAGCCCATTCAACATCAGTTGGTCTCCCATGGGGCCCCTAACAACATACGTACAGGAATGCAACACAATATGTTCAAATAAAATCATTCAAAATTCATACACAATAATGTCAAGTCAATAGTTTAAAAAGAGAATGTAAAAACATTGAAATATATCAAGGTGAATGTTTGCAATATAGAATAATCAAATATTTAAAGTGCAATACCGAGTAACAGAAAATAAATAAAATTGGAATTAACAAGCGCCATGTCTTTGTCCTTCCTTACAATGTCTAGCTAGGGATGGCTACACCTTCTTCTAATTTGAACGGAATATGATATTCTCACGTCAGACATCATGATTTAACCCTAAAAAGGCGGGCTATTTGAGGTCTTAGTACGGCCGGGGGCCATTATGGCCCCCCCCCCCCCGATCTCGCCGCGAAAATTTGCACGCATGTCAAGTGAAGTGTATAGAATAATATGATAATTTCAATTTTTAGAAAAATTTACTCATTTGCATATTTATGGTAATTTATGCAAATAATGTCATAAAAATCACATTTTTACCCATAAATCATATATTGTTCATATTTAAGCCTTCTTTTTCACTACATATATTCATTAGACCATTCTGAATAATAATACGACAAAAAAATTTGGAAGATTAAGCTTATTCCTTATGTTATTCTTTGTTTTGATAATTTCTTATGTATTTTATTGTTTTTTTAACTTATCTATTTCATTGTTTTTGTTGTTTTATTTCATTTCTTACTACAATTCAACTATTATGACTCCCGAAACAACCACCGAAACTTTAAAAAAGACCCAATAACCCATGTTTGATCTGTTTTTAGGAAAAATGACTTTTCCATATGTTTTGTACACAAATCACGAAAATGAGCGATTTTCGGGCTGACATGCAAAGACAAAAGGTCACGTGACCTTGTAACCGTCGGTCCGATTTTCAACAAAAAAAAAAGACTCGAAAGAAAGAAGTTAGCAAGCGGCGGGGCGCCATCCATATGCGTTCACGAGCAATCGGGAAAATTGTGGAGGCGGGGAGGGGGGCACAATGCCCCCCCCCCCGGCCTTAGTAGGGTTAAACGAAATGCTGTACACGACTACATCATTTATGATAAATGACAAGTGCCAGATGTCCTGTTCAGGTTTCCATAATGGGCAAATTTAAATGTTTACGATTACACCATTTGTGATATAATCTTTTTAAGGACTTTTTCTTTTTAAACATTGCCAACAAGAAATAAAGTTCAGAGCAATTCTAGAAAATAAAAGATGTTCAACGTTTCGTCTATCCTTCGCTAAGCGTGGCTTGAGGGATAAGAGATATATCATTCAAACCGTACATAGGTACACTAAGCCCCTTGCCTTGATCATGTTGTTTTGCGGTTGTCAAGAACTTTTCTATGGATGAATATATTAAGGGAGCATTATAACAAGTGGCCATCGGGATTTACTTGAGCGGATAAACGTAATACCCCAGACTTACTTACAGAAATAAGAAATTGAGTAAACATTGAGGAGTGAGGCTTATCATTCTGACTATTGTAAAATCCCTTCATCTATTCAGCAATGTTTTGTTGTTAAAGAATGTATCAGTTACAAAAAGTCCTTCTTTCGCAAATAATTGTATGATGTTTGATGAAATTTAGTATTTATGAAATTTTATCATTTCATTTTTTTAAATAACAATTGTTATATATATTTGCTTATTTTTCTGAAAGGGCGACCTGGATTTTTTCAATTTTTTTTAATGTTAGGCATATTATGTGAATCAATATGACGATATATCCATTATTAACTACTGTTTCGTGAAGGGCGTCTGTAACGGCAATAGAGAAATCCTCCTCCTCTTTTGCCAATGACTGCATATCAAATCTTTAAATGCAAAATCATTTGTAGATGTGTTAGGTCTACAGGAAAAGTTATCATTATTCTCCCTTCATTATTCGTCTTCGACATCAGTAGTATTCAAATTAAAAAAAAACATGATCATATCCACATCATAAATCATTCGAAAATCTGGAAAAGAGAGCATTTCTTTGCCAAAATTTCTCTCTACCTACTGACTGTATAATGATTTATGCATATTTCATGCTGCCCCCAAAGATCCATTTTTCTTCTCTGCATTTCAAATGCACTATGGAAATGATCCCCTGCTCCCAAAACACCTGAAGTAGTTTGATTTCCAAATAAAAGGGTTTTCATGACATATCGATTAAATGAAGCCAAGTGACATGACACCTTTGGTGGTTTTTCATTCTCGCAGTCGATGGGGGTTCAAGTGTTCGGGATGATGACGTATGTGAAAGGCGCTGCGAGCATCGTCGAAAACATTGGATTTTACATTATCAAATCGCAATCGAGGTGGGTGTAAAACAGGACCACAACAAATCCAACAGGGTGACTCTGACACACAAACAAGCAAAGAAACAAAATAAGTCATTACCTGAAAAGGGTACATATTCTCGTGTACTTATTAGGTATACCACTTGGGTTTCTAAGAGGTGAGGAAGAGGGGGGGGGCATGGGACGGTTGTGCCTCCCCTTTCCCCCTTCAACATCCGCCAATAGCCATGACAATGATTGTTGTCAATCTCGGACGGCATCGCTCTTTCCAGGTGTGTCGCCTTTTCTGAAAAGAGCCCTAGATTTTGAGGTTAGATGGCAAAAACCTTTTCTGAGATAGATTGCAAGGCCAGCCATCAATTTAGTTCAAATTCCATCTCATCTTGTGACGACGAAGAAGATGAAAAGGAGGTAATGAGCGTGCTTAAAAAAAAACGAAGAAAAGAAATTGAAGATGAGCATGAAGGTTAAGAAGATGTAAATAGGAAGAAAGAGAAAGAAGAGGAGAAGAAGAAGGTGAATGTAAAGAAGGTTGTAAAGAAGAAAAAGAAAAAATGAGTCGAAGAAAAGGTAGAAGGAGAAGAAAAGTTTGAAGACGATTTCGAAGGAGATTTCGAAGAAGAAGAAGAAATAAATAAATAAGACGAATAATATAAACAAATTAAAAAGAAATGACAAGAATTATCTTACTGAATCTAATCGATACAAAT